TGGATTGTTATGCTCAATGGATAGTGATCAATGGCTTGCTATCTAGTTGGCAGCCAGTATCAAGTGGAATGCCCCAGGCATTGGTCCTGGGGCTGGTTTTGTTCAATATCTTCATTAATAATTTGGAATATGGGATGGAGTGCACCCTAAACAAGTTCACAGATGACATCAAGCTAAGGGTGTAGTAGATATGCTGGAGGGTAGGGCTAGGATTCAGAATGGTGAGACAAATTGGAGGATTGGGCCACAAAAGATCTCAGTGAGTCAACCGTGTGCACTTGTTGCTAAGAAAGCTAACAGCCTATTAGGCAGCAGACTGAGGGAAGTAATTATTCCCTGCTATTCTGTACTGGTGAGGCCACATCTGGAGTTCTGTGTCCAGTTTTGGTCCCCCCACCCCACTATAGAAAGTATGCAGACAAGTTAGAGAGTGTCCAGCAGAGGGCAACAAAAATGATGAGGGACCTGGAGCACATGACTCTAAGGAGAGGCTGAAGAAACTGGGCTTATTTAGTCTGCAGAAGAGAAGACTGAGGGGGGATTTGATAACAGCCTTTCACTACCTGAAGGATGTTTCCAAAGAGGAGGCAGATGACAGAACAAGGAGCAATGACTGGTCTCAGATTGCAGCAAGGGAAGTTTAGGTTGGATATTATAAAAAACTCTGTCACTCAGAGGGTGGTGAAGCACTGGAATGGGTTAACTAGAGAGGTGATGGAATCTCCATCCTTAGAGGTTTTTAAGTCTTGGCTAAATAAAGCCTTGGCTGGAATGATCCAGTTGGGGATGGTCCTACTTTGAACAGGGGGCTAAACTAGGTGGCCTCCTGAGGTCCCTTCCAACCCGAATTTCTAATATGATTCTATGCATTCAAAACCTAAAAAGTGAAAAAAAGAAGAAAATTCCTGTTACTAGGTTTGATTTCTGGGAAAACTTCTGATCAACTTGCAAGACAAACCTGTTTGAAAATTGCAGAGTAGTTTTTTTTTTCCTCTGTAGAAAGCAACTTTGTTTCTGGATTCTTATACCAGTTTGCTACAGTTGGAAGAATGCTATTATGAAAAATTTATTGATGCATTTTGCACCTCTCTAGTTACAGCTTCTGTATAGGGAGCTCATGTTCTCTTGTGAATTCATTCATGATTTACCAAATTGTTTGTGAAGGACTCTTGTAGATTTGTTTGCTTGTCAGCACTTCTAATAATCTATGAACAGATCATGAAGTGATGATTGGACACACTATGAAGAGAAACATCTCATGTGACCTGACTGAATGAGCAAAACTATTAGACATTGGGTTTCTGGTGGGAATATCTGCAAAAAGAAGAAAGATGGTCTTGTGGTTAAAATAATGCATCTGAGAATTGGGACATCTGGAGGAATACTCTGGTTGTTCTTGTAGAATTAATTTATCTCTATGTGCTTTCGTCCTTATCCAAAAACAGGAATGATGCTTCCTTTCCTTACAAAGTATCGAAAGGGTAAATCTATAAATTCTAATCATGAATTCAGATTACTGTGGTAATGAGGACCATCACTATCTAGATAAAATGAATTATTAATCTGAAAATATTTCTTTCCACGAATACTTTAACATTTCTGTTGGCAAACTTGCTTGCGGTAATATTTGGAGAGCGCAAATATAAGAGAGGCATGAACAGAAAAAAATTGATCTAAAAAATGAGAATCTTGCTGACATTTTTGCATTATTCATATGGCTTTATTAGTTAGAGATATTAATTTAAAAAAACGCCTCTTAAGTATTTAGCCAGTGTTGACTGAAAGGTTAAATCATCAGTTTAAAATAGCAGAATATAAATACTTCAAATACTTTATTCAGTTTTCATACAGTGCTCTTCCCCAGTACATAAAAAACACCCTGAGGTTAAACTAAACTAAATACACCAGGACTTTTAACTAATAGCCAGAGAAGAGAATAAAACTTAGATGTTTTCTGACCTAGTCCAATTCCTAAAGCTTCCTACTGTTACTAAACCTGTAAAATTAAATTATTCAAATTTCTTTAACTTTAGGAGTAAATGAAAAGAAGATTTTGACTTGAACTATTCTAAAGAGAACTGGAATTCAATCTGTGAATAAGTGAGGAGACTTAATAAACGGTCAGAACCGCTTTATTTTGCTCAGCTTTCAGCAGACTGAACAGCTCCTTATCAGAGCAAAAGACAGACTATTTTTCTCTTGATGAAATGTATGTAATAAATGTACAGTGCAGGTAGGGAAGTTTGTAATTGTAGGAGGATTAACAAATTTTTTAAATATTATGGATAATAAGTCAGGTCTGGTTTATTACATTATTTATAAAGAACACATGGGAATTGATTAAAATGGAATATCAAATGTAAAACTTTATCTACTGCATGGAAATATGCCAATGAATGACTCGCTTCTCTGGCAAAATATTTCTCTGGGGCATTCATTCTGTTGGGTTTTCCAGATATTTATAAATAAAGTTTGTAAGCCTTTAGATTTGATACAATCATTAATGGTCCATTATTTACTAATTGGTTTATTAAGGTATTGTGCATCATATTTGGAAACAGTAGAGGTCCATTTGCATACATAACAATACATACTTATACAGACATGCAGAACTGCTTTTCTGAATGCAGTTTTACTAAATGCACACATAAATGGTACTTTATTTCCCCAATCACTTAACTGTCTTTAAACAAAAAGCCCCCTGGTATTTATTATATACTGAAAATATGTGGCTATATTTTTGAAAGAACTTCAGTATGGCTTCTAATTTGGAAAGTATACTTAACTGAAAGTTTAAGAGATGGGATATAGGCATGAGATTCTCAAAGGCTCTTAAAGTCAGTGCAAGCCTGCTCCAAGTTTACTTTAGGAGCGCTTATAAATTGACTTTGATGAAAAAAGAGTTAGGCCAATTCTGAGGCCTCCTGAAAATCCTATCATAGGCATCTAAATACCTGAACCATTGGTAGAACTGCACCAGGAACGATATAAATAAAAACAGTGCAACTCATGACTCAGCTGAGATCCTTCAAATACTTTCTGGCTTATAAAATTGCTGAGCTGGTACAACTGTATACTACAAAATCTTTATGCCATTATTCACTTCACATGTCATTTTCACCTTGATTTAATAAACTGTCCTTGAACTTTCAAGGTTTATCAGGCATTAATAGGAAATGTCTATCATCATCATGTTATTGCCAAGATCCACTTACCTGTAAATGAGCTGTTGAGAGGAGACGATATTGCTAACTACGGAAGAGCCCTTCCCAATTATTTGCTTCAATGACATCAAGTTTGCATTGCAGTTGAGGTATCAAATGTAGCCTTTTTACTATTCATGTGGTTTTCTCTGCTATAGCTTATGTTGGCTACAATGAACCAAAGTGCTTGAATGGAGCAAAAGGGAAAAATCCACTTGGATAAGATCAACATACTAATATTTCCAAGCCCTGTAGAACTGTCATCCTTTAAGATGCTGAGAGAATTTTTCACTTCCTGAAGAATTTCGATTTTTTTTTGGTTTAAAGACAACAGCCATAACAAAGCTAATAGAAAGTAGCTTGTTTCATTGATTACATGCAAACCAATATCCACAGATCTGATTAAGATAATTTGTTTTCTTTTTTGATATACTGATGCCTAAAATGCTGATGCTTTAGCCATTTTAGAATAAAAATTAATGATTTTTACAAATGTATTTGTTTTCAGTATAGGCTATCATATGAAGTGTTTTCTAGGGTATATACAGATGTCTGGAGAGGTTAGTTTGCCCAGGTGCAGAATTTACACTTAGAGCTCTGGTTAGGTGGATCTAAGTGAGAACCATACAGAAGTTCAGGATAGTTAGATTGGTCCAAAAATAGCAGCTGATCTAAGTCAAACCTACCTCCAACGTACACCTAACTTAGATCAAGCTGGCCATTTTTAGCCATTTTTAGACTGATTTAACTGTCCTGAACTTCTGTAGAGTTCTCACAACAGCCCCAGGGCTGGGAAAGCCTAGGCACTGGCCTCAGCCCTGGGCCGGCTCTTTTCCTATCCCTTCCCTAGTCCCAGGTTATTTTTAGTGCCCCCCGTCCTGCTTCCCCAGCCCCTCTCCCCCACGCCCAAATAGACAACGTCCCCTCCTGCAGACCAGCCAGACCCCCCTCCCCCCTCACTCTCACCCAGCAAGCTGGCCAAACACCCCATCCCACAAGTACCTCCCAGTGCTGATTTTACCAGCATTCACCAATGCCAGGAGCTGAGGAAATAAGTTGGAGTAGGGGGAGAGGCAGGAAGGATGGAGGGAGTTGGTTCACTCTGGGGGTGGGGGGAGTCAGGGGGATAAAAATAGCCCCTGATCCTGGGAGTCAGGTAAAAAATCCCCCAAGCCTCCCTGTGGTTCCCCCAAGTCCTCCTGATTGAGCCAAACCCTCTTGGACCCTACCAACCCACCCCACAAATGCCACCAGCCCCTCCTGAGCCTGGTTACTTCCCTAGTTGCTCCAAGCCCCCACTTCTCGCCCCCCCATCCCAACTAACCTTAGATTAGGTAGATATTTTTAACTCCTTCTAACCTCCCCAAGGAATAGGCACTTTGTAGAAAGACATTAAATGGCTATGTCTAAAACAGAAATTTTTAAAATAAATTGATTAGTGATATAAGAACAGCCTAAACTGATCCATTATTTCTAATCAACTTTTTAAAGTTAGTATGCATTATCAATCACATAATTTTATCCCATGGGTTTTAAAGGTAAAATTTTGCCTCTCAAATTTCTTACTTAGCTTAACAGTGAAGTTACACTTATTTCTCCCATGACCACTTCAGAAGCACGTTATTCTTTCTGATGTTGTCATTTCAGGTGCTGTCACCTCTATCCCTTTAAGTAAAATGAACCAGAAAAAGTGTTAGTTCTCCTCCCACAGGCCCACAGGGCCAAAGAAGGCAGATGAAGGCACTTATGTAGATTTACTTGAATGACATAAGCTATAACAAAAAGATGATAACTCACCCGCTTGGTATAGTCCATGGCTTTCAAAATGGAGAGGTTAAGGGTTTCCAATGAAGCCAAAACATCTTCATAATCTCCCATATGATCAACAAAATAATCTGGAGAAACAATGTGGGACAAAGGGAAGAATATAGGAAACTTAATGCTCCAGGTCTGTTCAGGGTTACAAGATCATTTTTGGTGAAGAGAAAAGTTTAAGAAGATCTGAAGTACATATTTGAGAAAGACATTAGTGAAATTAGTACAAAACATATTTCTGTATTTTCCTTTAACACTGTATTTTCTCCTAAAGAACAAACCAACAGGTTCCACGCTGAAGAAATGTGGTACTTGGCAGTACTGAATGTATGTATGGCTTAACCTGTCCATTTGATTTTACTTTTTAACCTAGACTTTCACATGAGAGGTGATGACTTATTTCAATCTGTACCATGATTTTCAGAAGTAGGCAAATATTCACTATGGCATAGGATGGAGTTACACAGCTCATTTACACTTGAGTACACCAGATCTAAGCCTCAGTTGTTTTGCTGTTGTGCTCACATGCAGACTATTATTCTAAGACAAATGACACCTCTGAGAAACTTTCATGAGAAAATTTGTTATCTATAGTGTTGCAGAGCACTTAGGTGCCCTGCTCCTTTGAGGAGTGGAAGCAGTGAGTGGGGAGCCCCAGCTGCTGGTTACCTGGGCAGCCAGAGTGAGCTAGTGGCCCACATCTGCCAGCGGTCAGCTGACCGGAAGGGGCAGGGCCTGGCTCACATATAAACCCCAGGGCTGAGGCCAGGATGGCAGTTCCCTGCCAGCAGCCAAGAAGGTAGGAGCTCTCCCAGAGCAAGCAAAAGGGAGAGGCCTGACTGCAGGTACAGCCTCTGATACTGGTGAGGGATGGAGCACCCCTGGTGCGGCTTGAATGAGGTTATAGCCGGGCAGCTGGAATTTATGTTATAGCCCAGGGGCTTGTGTTTTGTTTACTGTTTAAGACCAGTGGTTTGGGTGAGGCTATTAGGGGATGGAGAAGGCCTCATAGGAGACCCATGGCAGCGTGGGGAGCCCTGGTGCCAGAGAGGGCGCAGCATTTGAGGTGCATTGACTGGGTGCCAGTGAAGGCTCAGAGCGAGACAGGGCCGCAGAGAGCCCAAGCACCAGTGAAGGTGCAGAGCGAGACGGGGGCCACGGAGAGCCTGGGGAGGACCAGGGGGCCAAATTATAACAAGGCCCAGACTGAACAACGTCATTTCCATCTGCGAGGCTTGGGGTGTAGTACAGGGGTGGTTGGAGCCACGCATAGCCCATATGGCTAGGGTGCCCCGAAACACCCATTGTGGAACGGGACCCACAAGAGGACCAGGAGCCCATGGGGTCAGAGTACAGCAAAACCGTGTCCAAGATGATGTAATGGCAGCCTCCCTATTATATACTTACCAACAAAGATGTGGCGGGTGAGAATTGAGGGTGCCCATTGGGCCAACTTGGCAAGGTAAGGGGTCCTTGGGAAGATCACGGCCAACCTACAGGACCCCGTACCGTGACATACAGAAATTACACATTCATAAACAGAAATGATGACAAATTAAGGGTGGCAGCATCATGGTTATACAGTAAGAGTTTGGAATCTGGAAACTAAGTTAATGAATTTATGTGTAATTAATACAAACTAGAATTAAAACACATTGCCTAGCACTAGTGAAAATTCATATTGGCATGACATCTCCATCAAAGTCAGCTAAAAATAAACTTCAGGAGACAATTCCATTAATTAGCTTCTTTTGAATTAAAACTTAATTAATTAAAACTGCATATATTTATTTACAGCCTGAGAATGTTTCCAAGTGGCTTGCAGGATGAAGAAGATATTGGCAGCCATTGGAACGACAGCAAAGCAAGCCTCCAGCATGATTTCTGGCACCTCATCACTGAACCATAGATATGCCAAATGTCTAATTCTTGGCAGCAGCAGATTATTTTTTCACATGAAAATGAAAAAATAAATCACTGTATAGAGCTGCTTTTCAAAAAGAAGGTAAAGAAAGTCTACTTTAGAGATGTTAAAGTAAAATGTTTTCATGTGATTCAAAAATGTCAGGGACAAAAACTCAATTGTTTACAGAGGGTAGCTTTAACGCTGCTTATGTCTTGTTTGACTTTAACTCTTTATTGTAAAAGTATTTTTTAAAGTTCAGCAAGACAGTGTTTTGTATCCAGACATGGAATTCTATAGGGCCAACTCTGGGCAGCAGGTATGAACTGTGGCACCTGTATCTAATGTATTCATGTAAAAAGCTTAAATTCTTCATCACAGTTGGTTCTGTGTATGGTTTCTCTTCACTGAAGTCAAGAACTGTGGAAGGTATTCTGGTGGAAGTACAGCTACAAAAGCTAAGAGGTATGCATAAAAAATGGGAGGGCTTTCCTCATCAGTGTCATCCACCCTACTTGAATTGTGGGTGTATGTTAGAATAGAAACTCAGTAATTCCAGTTTTGCTACTCTACATGCCTCCTCCCAGACTTACCACATTGCACCAGTGAGATCTTACCAAGACATTTTTAAAATGTATATAAAATGGATATTCATACAATTTGGTTAGTACTAAAGTTTTTTTTTATTTAAACTGCAATGTAGTGGTTGCATTTTGGTAATTTGCAATACTCAGTTTCCAACATACATTATGTGCTGAGACTGCCCTAAAATCAGAAGCTCTCTCTTAGAAGCTGCTAAAATTCAAATCTGGAATGCCTCCCTGTCCTCCTACGGTTAGATATCATACGTAAGATATATAAGATATATTAAATTTAATCACTCAAAGACATATAAGTATACTTTCCTAACCAGGAAAGTAAAGTTACTGATAGCATGTGTCAAATAATGACGGCATGTGCCTTCTAGATGGCATGTGCCTTCTAGATTACTTGGATACCTGAATAAATGTCATCATTCCCTTTGGTTGCAAGTAATTCATGCTAAGGTACTGTCAGACAGGACTAAGAAATGGAGTGCCAGGTCACTGGTTCTGTTATCAGGCAGATCATATGGTGAAGACTGTTTAGGACATGGACTATAGCAGGGGTTGGCAACCCTCAGTATGCGTGCTACAGTATGGCACACAAGGCCATTCTCCTCAGCATGCCACAGCCAGCCCAGGCTCTGGGCAGCTGTGACCAGCCCTGGGGCCTGGGCTGCTTGTAGCATCTGGCTGGGAGGCTGTAAGCTGTGCTGCAAGCAGCCCAAGCTATGTCTGGCAGTAGCTGCCCAGAGAGCCTTGGCTGTCTGCAGCCAGGAGGCTGCAAACCACTGCACTGGGGTCCAGAGCCCTAGCTGTGTTCCATGGCAGCAGCAGCTGCACATGCACCTCCAGGCAGATGGTGAGGGAGGTGCCTGGGGCAGTGTAACCCCAGTCTCTCCCCTGCCACCTGCCCCAAATGTGTGCATGCAGCTGCTGCCAGCAATGAGGATCAGGCTCCCCCAAGGTCTGCCCCTGGCACGCCAAGTCAAACCATGGGTCAGAGTTGGGGTTTTTTTGGCACTCCAGCCAAAAACGTTGCTGACCCCTGGACTACAGCATGCATATTACCAAAAACAAAGTCATACAGTGCTGTAAAAAAATAAAGGTTTTTTTTAACAGAATGTATAGGTAATGTGGACACTCAGATTATTTGCATTATTCCTCCAATTTAAATATGTAGGAGAATTGTTATCTCCAAGGCATCTTGCATATTAATCACTTCTGTTTCAGATTGTGAGCTGACTCCAACAAGGGTCAAGATAAAAATATTCATCATCTGTAAATACTACTGCACAGATCTCAAGGTGCATAATTTGGATGGGAGGAGTTCACTGCCCTGGAAAGCATCAGTCACTGGCCAATATTGTTGGGGAACTAATGGAGTTATTTTCTAATGGAAGCCCAATTGCATAGCTTATATAATTATTCCTCCTCCCTATCCATTTAAAAGTTGAATAGTTTAAGCAAAATATATTATCTTCTATGAGTTAAATTAAGAGCAGTCCAGTGAACAAAACTTGATGCAAGCTAAAAGCAAAATGTAACATCAAGAGCCATCTTTTTCTAGGCAGGTAGAAATTTTTGAGCATTGCAAACTAGTCCCAAATGCCCCCATGTAATACACAATTGAGATGGTTGCTAGCCAGAAAACCTACATATCAGCTTGTGCAGCAAAACAATCTTTATGTGAATATTGGTAATTACCCACCCATAAACAGACACCTACAGCTCTTTTTTGTCATGTATTTTAATTACAGAGATTATGGATCTATCCCATATATTCATCAGTCCCAAAGTAATATGAGCACACTCTGGACGACAGCAGTATAATTTTCAGTTTTATGAGTTTGTCAGAAAAAGAAAAGAAAGGTATCATCAAACAATGATAATAGTTCAGTTGTATTTTCATGTGAAGTTTATACTTTGACATGCAGTTACTAGTTTATTGGGTTGGCATGGTAGACAAGGAGGTTTCATCAAAAAAGGAAAGAATTAAATGTCATTGGCAAACAAGGCTCAATTTCTCATGTGTCAGATTTCAGCAAATGGAGCCAGCTGAGTATTTTAGGACTAGAAATTGGAGCGTAGTAATTTTAAAAAAAAATCTAGTTTATTTTCATGTATTAGTGTTCCCCCTATTAAATCTCATGCTATAATTATGGGCTTATTCAATGCTACTTCCCTGTGCTAAATAATAAAACCATGCAGCAGGAGGTCAGGAAAATGCAACCTCCATTCTATACCACGGTCAATAGCATAAAGTTTCCTACCCAGAGGTATCTCATTTTAAGGACTAATTATAGCAGCAAACACAAAGAAACATCACTAACTTAATATGCATCTTTCAGTTGCTTCAACTGAACTACTACAACTGGCTATAGTAAAGATACAGAGGCCTTCAAAGATATTCAGGATGAAGCACTAGCTACTTTGAGCTCAGCATAAACATACCAGCCAACATAGTAATGTTCATCAGGGCCTGACTGGCCTCTAGGAGCTGGATTTCAAAGTGTATAAATGCTGCCATTCAACAGCAAAGAGAACCTGTGCCCCTTTGAAGTTGGAAAGGAGAATGTAACTGGCAAGTGCTTTTCTGTGTCATTAAAAACAAAACAAACCCCAAATAAATCATGCCCTCCCCCTCACCCCCAAAAAGGCCACTTTCCTTCACCTCAAATCTTAACATCAGGAAAAAAATTATCTCCCTAAGGAAGATTCACAAGTCACTTTAAATCTAGATATAGCACTCAAAATTTCTCAGTAGGAATATTTTCTTTTTTGGATGATGTGTTGGATAAAATGTTCTTACAGAATTTTTTATCTGTCTCTAAATTTCTCTGAGCAGTCACGGGGGTGTATAGTTGATTATGAACATTAGACTGCTTGCCATGAAACATGAAGCTTTTCCTAAAGACATTATCTGATTATTACACAGCAATACTGGTCAATTGAACCTAAGAGCAAAGCCTGGAAATGAGGTATTGTCTGGAATTAACCCACTAGTTCTTATTGAGCATTATCCGCATATTTTTGTGCACAGTTCTGCACTCATTTGAAATATGGCAAAATTGAGAAAAGCTTTGCCAACTTCACTGCTGGATGGAAAACCATAGTTCTGGGAGTTCACAGCTTCTGGAACTGCCAAGGCATGTTATCAAAACTCCCTCTTTTCAGTTCACTAACGCACTAATAAGGTTGAGTAACCTGAGGAGAGTCAGAGGACACTACTTTATAATGAGAGGAGGGTGAGAGAAAATAAGCTGTATTTGGGGCCGAGATGAGCCTAAGCCAATGTATTCAAAGACGGCTAGTCAGTTGGTGTCACTTCAGTTCAATACACAGTGGTCCCAGCCTTCCATTCTTTATGCCTCTATAAACATCTTATTTTTCACAGCCTGAATGTGGGGGGGTTGTTTATCAAGAACAACTGCAGAAACAGAAAACTAACATTTGCAGTCACATTTATCACAAACTAACCTAGGGGTTGGCAACCCCCGGCGCACATGCCAGAATATGGCATGCGAGGCCATTTTGCTTGGCATGCCACATCCAGCCTGGACTCTGGGCACCTGTTGCTAGCTATGGAGCTCAGGCTGCAAGCACTACTGCAGGCAGCCCGGGCTCTGTGGCTGGTAGCAGCACCCAGAGCCTGGGTCATCTGCAGCTGGGAGGCTACAAGCAACTGCATCGGGCTCCAAAGCCCCAGGTGGGCTCTGTGGTGGCAGTGGCAACACACACACCTCTGAGCAGATGGCGAGGGAGGGGCCTGGGCCAGCAGAACTCTGGTCCCTCCCTCACTGCTCCCCTGGAGGCACACATGCAGTCACCACCAGCAACAAGGATTGGCCCCTTGCAGCTCTCTCGTGGTCCGCCCCCAGCTTGCCAAGTCAAGGTGTGGGTTAGGGCTGGGGTGTTTTTGGCACTCCCGCCAAAAACATTGTTGACCCCTGAACTGACCTAAACCATGGGATATAAGGTGAGTGCCTCTTTTCATATAAAGGGATCTAAGATACAACACTGCTATTTAAAACCCACATAATGTTTAAAAGAAAAGGCACAGTTCTCTGGGTTTTACCCCCACCTTATGCCTCATTTCCTTAATTTACAAATGCCAAGATTTTATAAGCTAAAGATTAGGGCTTCAGGGAATCAGGACTGTTAGGAGTCTAAGGTTAGAAAAAGACAATTCTTGATGTTGCCTCTGTGTCTCCATAACAGTTTTATGGCACTGCAAATACCAAGCAAACAATGCTTCTACCTTTTGTCCTGCCACTGATATGGCATGAAAAAGGTACTAAGGAGTTGTGCTGCTTTATTGTGGCCAATGTCTGTGTTTGTTCTGTGGTGGGAGAGTGCAGGCAGCCTGAAATTCCCATGCTCCCCCGCCACTCCAGCCAGGGACTTTTGGGGCTTGAGAGCCCTGATTCTGCACACCCTGGCTGTTACAGTGATGTACCCCTGAGGTTTATTTCTGTAACCAGGGAAATCCCATGCATGGAGGCAGGGGACCTAAGAAACACAGCTGCCCCTTGCCTCCACACCAGGACCCTCATAGCCTTAGGCCTCCATGGGACCTGCGCTAACCCATGTCTCATGCAAAGTATGGTTCAGCATGGATCCAGTCAGGGGCAGAGGACAGGCACTAGAATTGAGTAATCCCTGACTGTACCTCCATGCAGGGACTTGAGCCTCCATATGAAGCATGAGTCAACATAGGTCCCTGCACAGAAACACAAGGTGTGGGGATTTCCTGGCTCTTTCATCCCATCACTTTCCCTGCCAGGATTCATGCTGGCCCAATGCTTCAGGGGGAGGCATGGGCCAGTGTGCAGTCTGGCAAGGAGAAGTGATTAGCACAGGAGCCAGGGAATCTCTGGTGTCCCATACCTCCCTGCCAGGATTCATACTAGCCCATGCTTCAGGCAGAAGCATGGGTCAGTATGGGTCCCCACATGGAGGCAGGGAGTGCCAGGGATTTCCCAGCCCCTACACCACCCTGCACCTTCCTGCTATTCCACAGCAGGGCCTATGCTGACCATGCCTCCACATGAGGAATGGGCCAGCAGAGAACCCAATGGGGGGGAACAAGGGGCCCAGGGAATCCCTGGACAAGGGAAGCATAACATCCCTTGTGCTGCATCAGGCAGGTGATATGCTGTATCACCGGTGTCCTGCCACAGTTTATCCACTTATCTCTTTCTCCCCTAACACCCAATTTCTCCTTGTGAAGTCATTGGGGAACTGCTAATATGCAGCCCCTTTGAACCTGCCTGTCTATTCTGAAATGTAAAAGTAGGCCCCTGTTTTTCAAAACCTTGGCTATTCTGTATAAGATAGTTTCTTTACAAACAAAAAAGAGAAGATCCCTCTTTTTCTCAACAATACAAGAGTTCACTTTACCTTTCATACACCCTGAAAAAAGACTTGCATTAGAATTGCTATTACTAGATAAAGAAAAGGTACTTACCACACAGCTCCTTTGTATCCACATTACTGTAGCAAGGGAGATACAAGTAAAGGAAGAAAAGAGAGAGTTAAATAGTTTAAAAGTAAAGGGAAAAAATAAAAGATGTATGAAGAATTTATATTATTAGAGATGGACACAACATGTAGAAAAGTTATGGGCCTAGTTTCAATTTTATAGTTTAATCCCATCCCAGTTTAATGCCCATGTTTTTCACAAACCACCCTCACTTCACTATAACAGGCTCTTAGTGCTTTAAGCCTTAGTTAACTACTTAATAGCAGAGCTGTGCCAGTGCTAGATAAAATTCTGTCTTCATACTGACCATACAGGCTCAGTGATGGGAAGTGCTTTGATTCCCATCAAGACAAGCAGGAGACAGTCATTTACATAGACATAGTTTGAATGGCAATTAACTTGAATTAGGCCTGATTGCCCAGGGAAAAAGTGTTAATCTCAGATACTTTATAGGTACTTAAAGTGGGACAATGGGTTTGTAGGTCAGTAGGATACCAGATTAAAGGCTTTGTCCGAGGGGAAATCTGAAGTCTGTTTTCAGCCTGTGAAATTCACCAGATTGTCAACACACAGGGAGTCACAATAACCAACCTACAAAACCAATACAGTCCAGTTGCACCTAAATGGGACCACTTTCAGTGGATTATACTAAGGATTTCTCCCTTGGTAGTTTTTCACAGATCTAGTTAATCACCAATGTTGTACACCAAAATAAAAGTCCTTTAATAGTTGCTCTACTACAATCATCAGTAACCAAGACATAGAATTATTCATATGCATGCTGTGGAACCACCACATGCAAAGATCATTCCTTATACCTGAACGCACATAGGTCTAGCAACTTTACAGATAAGTATTTTCTTGTTAAAATTACCCATTGCATTCTGTTATAAAACAACATGATACCGGTACTTTGTAAATTATCTGCAAAGTAAGTGATGTGCCCGTTTTATGTTTCAAAGGTAGCGAGATCAAGAGTTCATTCCTTGTTGGCACTGAATATTCATTTAAAAATACAATCTGAAATGGTATCAGTGGCAAATGTCAAGTTAACAGTCTCAGCCATGAGACATTTGACCATAACTTGGTAAGAAGAGGTCAGTGTCATAAAGGTTCAGTTGGATAAAATGGCTTGCTCTGCGTTCTTCTCTTCAGAGTTACTCTGTAGGTCAATGGACAAACAAGGGACCAAGGCAAAGCCTGACAGGAAGGGCTGGTTCCATCCAAATAATATAGTCAGCTCATTAGGCATGAAACTAGAGTAGCAGCACCTATACTGTCAGTGGATTCAAAAGAAAAGTCTCCACTTAAAAACCACGCTGTAAAAAGGCACAGAGCACCAGTTTGTAGTACCATATTTAGATTACTAAAACTGAAACAATATTATTATAATTCATTTAACATTTTTATTAAGACTCCCCCACCATTTCTCATAGCTAGGGAAACACAAGGGTGGGAGACAGTTTAACTTTCTGTTCTTTCCCCCCCTGCAGTTTGGCATTTCAAACTTTTGCCAGGGAACCGATGAAACTGAAACGCATCAGATTAAACAGTGAAAAAAAGATGCTGGTTTATACACAGCATAGTAGTATCATGCGGGCTCACTGCCACACATAATTGAGGTTAAGAATTTAGTAGAATTCCAAAAAACAGAAAAAAAAAAAGAATGAAGGCATCTATTTGGCCAATAAGAACATATTCATCGATTCATAGATTGTTAGGGGCTGGAAGGGACCCTGTAGATCATTGGATCCAGTCCCCCTGCAGTAGGCAGGAAAAGACAACTGGTATCAAGTAACCCCAGGGAGGTGATTGTCCAGTCTCCTTTTGAAGATTTCCAGGGTGGGTGACTGCACCTCCACTGAAGGGAGTATATTCCACAGTCTGGATACCCTGACTGTGAAGGAGTTTTTCCTGGAACTGAGCCTGAAGAAGCCTTCCAGGAGTTTGTATCCATTGCTCCTGGTCTTCTCCAGGGGTGTCCTGGTGAACAGCTGTTCACCGAGTTCTTGATGTACTCCCCTGATGTAGTGATAAGCCATTACCAAGTCCCTTCTCTTCTGTAGGCTGAAGAGGCCCAAGTCCCACAGCCTCTCCTTGTATGGCTTGTCTTGCAAGTCCCTGATCATAGGGGTGGCTCTTCTCTGGATCCTCTCAAGTTTTTCCATGTCCTTGTTGAAGTGCAGCCCCCAGAACTGGATGCAGTACTCCAGCTATGGTCTCACCAGTGCAGAGTACAGTTGGAGTATCACTTCCTTAGTTTTGCATGAAATGCAACAGTTAATGCATGCCAGTGTGTTGTTTGCCCTGCTGAGCACAGCATCGCACTGCCAGCTCACCTTCATGCAATGATCGATCATTACTCTTAGGTCCCTTTCGGCTGTGGTGCAAGTCAAATTGTCGCCACTGAGCCTGTAGGTATGTTGGGGATTGTTTACCCCCAGATGGAGCACTTTACACTTCTGAGTGTTGAACTTCATCTGGTTCCAGTCCACCCAGCTCTCCAGCCTGTCCAGGTCTGCCTGTATCTGCAATCTATCTTCTGGCATGACCACACTCCCCCATAACTTGGTGTTGTCTGCAGACTTGGCCAGTGAGCTTTTCACCTCCACGTCCAAATCATTGATAAAGATGCTGAAAAACATAGGTCTAAGCACAGGCCCCTGAGGGACATCACTGGCCACTTCTTGCCAAGATGACACGGATCCCTTCGTGAGAACTTTTTGGGTCCTACCATGCAGCCAGTTTTCCACCCACTGAACTGTTGAGCGGTTAAGCCCACAATCTTCCAATTTTTCCACAAGGAGATCATGGGATATTAGATCAAAAGCCTTTTGGAATTGTAGGTATATAATATCAACCTTCTCTCCCATGTCCAGGTGGTGAGAGAAGTGTTTATATGCAATGACATGAAATAAGATATGGTGCAGAACGGATATAAAGTAGGTCAGTTTTAGCCAGTTCATGGTGGTGCAGCATACTAGCACTTCTGTCACACTGCTGTCTTAAGTTCTAGAATTTCAACTTCCATTTTCCAATAAAAGTCAGCCTTTGACTCCAATGTTGTGAAGAAAATTCTAAAAATCCATTCAGCTGATATGATATATAGGAGTCTTCAGTAAGTATGGAGCAGCAGCTCTGAGTGGCATGACATTTTCTTCCCAGATGTTAATTCAGCTACCCACTTATAAATTTAATGCCAACATCATTAATACAAACAGTTATTTTATTAACTAGAATCACATATGTGCACCATTTTACAGTGCAGCAGATGGATGGCATTTGGGAAATATAAGCACTCTCTTTTTTCCTGACAAGAAAGAGCTATGACCACGGAGTCCAGCAGAGTTCCTGAACATCTTGAAGTCCTACTAAGGGAGACCAAATGTCATAGTGTTCAGAGAGCACAGATATCAGATGGTTATCATCTCTACACACACACACACACACACACACACACACACATCATTTGCACCTTCCAGTATGCACTGCATCTCATTTTGGCAATTCTCATGTATAGTGTTCCCTCCTAACGTGATCCCCCAAATAAAACCTCAAACTACAGAGCATAACCCAACACCCAAATTGGTAGGAAAGATCTTTTTACTCAAGTCATGTTACTCCAGTAATGACCTATTATGGGAGTTCTTCCACTTTCCAATTATGTGGGTCACTATGAGACAGGTTACTAGGCTACCCAGACTCTATTCTTCTGATCTGGTATGGGACATTTTTTAATTCTGAAAAACTCTGAAAAAAATCACTTTTTATAAGAACTTCAGTCTCAATTCTGTCTGGTCAAAGTACTTCAAAGTCTTATTGCCCTATGTAGAAGCCAGGCATAAACTACAGTCCCAGAGTTCCCTGTACACAAAGTTCCACAAACTAGCCCTCAGTGTATGCATATGCTACTAGTATGTAAAATGTATGCCCACAAGCACAGAGGGCATGGCCAGGAAAGAAAGACTGTGACTAATCTACTTGAGACTCAGATTCCTGCATTATTGCAAAAGTTATTTCAGACTTGAAAGGAATTTGAAATGTTGCCGTAATAGAATTATTCTTTATCAATCCATTTATATCCAGCAGAGCTATTTCTTTAACTAAAATCATTCTTGATCTGCCTGACCTGTCAGCATAGAGTGGCTTAAGGAAGAAAAGATTTTTAAACACTGATTTCATTACTGGAGCTCTCTGATAGTCTTAACATCGCCACCTACTAAGTCTCTGAAAGCACTCATGGCACTTTATGCCCTAAAAGGCTTTAACAGGAAGCACTGGCAGTTTCCTTACCCCAGATTCTGAACTCTAATAGATCTCAATAGAGGGACCCATTTCTTTCATGAAGTAAACATCCCAGACTTCCCACTTGTGGGTTTTTTTTTTACTTCATTGAAATTTTGTTTTGCTGTTACAGTTTATAGGAGAAAAAGCAGCTCTTTTCCCTGCAAGTTGTTTATCCATCATCTTTTCCCTCTTGCACTCCTTTCTGGATCACTAAAAGTCTCCTGTATCTTCTCTTGTCCCTAGTCCTCTCTCCCAGTTCTGACAGAGACTTTTCTATCTCATGTTACCAGAGACCATAGTCCTTGCTGCTCTGAAGCTTTCCTGACATTAGCATTTACTATAGTTCATTTCTCCAGACCTTTAGTGCTGCTGATTCACTTTCCCATCATGCATTATGGGACCTTTTCCATTCACTCCTCTCTTCCAACACATTTCCCATTTGGGTAATCATTTCAGAGTGAGGAAAAGATGTTGTCAAAGCTTGTGAGAACAAGAAACAGTGAATCCAAATCGACCACACACACTCTGTTTCTAGTGGTGTAGGACAGATTTCCTCCCCAACTTGACTAGGATCTTTGGAGCATTTTCTGCCTCCACTGGGAAATCACTCCATATCAGTAGAAACTTTCATAAGGAAAACACCAGAACACATTCAACTGGCTTGGAGCCTTTCCAAAGAGCAGCATAATAACATTTTAAATGGGTTAATAATGGACTTACACTT